GAAGGGAGGGCTAGGAATGGGGAAAAAATAAGAACCAAGATGCATTATGTAAAGGTACAATTCCCGATGAGAAATGTAATTGTGTTGTATACCCATAATGTACCAATAAAAGAATTTAATACAAAAATGAAAGATAATGAAACCATTCATATTACACTTCTGCACTAAACTTGGTCCAAGCCTTTCTATGCAGTGTTAAAATAGCCCCGTACAATCCCCTTGTTAGCTGTAAGCCCCAGTAAGCACTGATGACAGTCATTACCCTATAGCTTTACCAGCAGCACACAACAAAGTCCAAAGCTTTCCCATCCTCTTCTCTCACTATTGAGGGGAACCAAGAAATGGGGAAATGAAGGGACACAAAAAAATTAAGATGTGTTCTGTGCATGCACCAACTCCCTACAATGATTGTAATCATTATGCACTGCAAACATGTACTAATAAAAATAAAAAAATAGAAAATAAAAGAAAAATATTATTTATCCAGGATAAAAAGAAATATTTGAAAGGGACAGTGGCAGGTTGGTGGTTCTCAAATTATTGTGGTTCAAAGGAATACTTATGGAGATGCTGTGACTTATCTCCATAAATTCTAATTCCATAGTCCTGAGGAAATGTTTAGGAACCAGATTGATTGGTATGTTTCACAGGTAAATCTAATGCAGGTGTTCTAGACATCATCCTTTTAGAAATCCTAACATGGAATGTAAGAGGTGAAGATTTCAAGTCAAAATGGTCTAATTCCGGAGCCTGAAATTCTCTGCCATTTACCATTGGGTAAATTGTTCAGCCTACTTAAGACTTATTTTTCTCAACTATAAAATGGGAACAGTGACACCACAGAGTGGCATTCTGAGTTTTAAGGGAGATAAAGTGCACAGAACTTGGTTTGGTGACGACCACATATTAGTCACCAAATCAACAATGGCTGTCAGTTTATATGTTTCCCCAATGACTCTTAAAAGACTGGACATTTTAGAAGTTTCAAAATTATCCCTGAGCAGAAAAATTAATTATGTTCTTTTCCTTTCATTCATGGTGAAGCACAGTCATGAATATACCACTGTTACTTTTCAAAAGTCAGCTCCAAGGAGCCATATAGAAGAATAGTGGTCAGGACACTGGGACATAACACTTTTGTCCTTCAAGAATCTGTAGTGTCATAAGCAGTGTGCCATTGAAGATTTCTGAGACAAAAATACAAGAGCATTGAACATATTTCTGACTGTCACCAAAGACTGAGTTGGTGAATACAACCCAGTTATCAGTGTGGCTCTTCTGCTATGGTGACAACACCAGTTCTGTCTTCTTCATGGGAATGCAAGAACACCATGAGGAAATGCAAGTGAAAGCAATTAGGAGATTATGCAAAATTCTACAGATGATAAGCTGTTTCAATGAAGACTTTGCTCTCAAGGCTGGAAACGATAACACACAGAAAAATTAACAGGCTGTTTCATAAAAATTCAAATGCATAGATTGATCATAAGTAAAGCAAAATCCTACCTTCTGCTGAGTCCCTGGGCAACCGGGTGTCCACAGGGAGGAGGAATGAAAAGTCTGACTCAGGGACAAGAGAGAAGGTCCAGATCAGGTCATTTTGAAGGTTTCCTTCTGAGCACATATTAGAGTATGAGAAACACAGCAAATGAGCCAGTTAAGAAAACAGCAAAAGCAAAATACTTACAGGTTTAATTGAACTGGTGTCCTTTCTATTAACAAATTTAAAGGAAAACATGTATTTCTACAAACCTACGTTTTAGGCAACAGCTCAATCAAGTAACAAAACTACCAAAATTATGGGCCAAGTTGTTTACTAAGTGAAAATTCTAGCCTTCACCGTGGCTGTGGGATTCGGATCTCCCGGAGTCATCGCACCTGGCCTGTTGAGCAATAAATACCCCTGGCATCGTGAGTCACCGGGCGCATTATCTGGTCATCAAGAGCATCAGAGCAGTCCTAAGGTGACGTCTTTCCATCTGCCTGGGAACAACACTGTACCCACAGACTAATTAGGCTTGAGGTTGACAGGAAAAGGGAAGGAGGGCAGACCAGGAGCTTCTCTGAGGAAAGTATCATCTCAGTTGGGAAATCTTCAGGTGATTAGGCTCCGCTTTCTGTGGGTTTTCAATAATTTTGTCTGTATCTGTACAACTCATAGTTACGTACCTTTTCCTCAAGAGGCAGAGGATATGCCTTATTTAATTTCGGCACATGATGCCATTTGGTGTCGCACAGAGCTCAGCAAAAGGCTATTGACTGAGTACAATTGCATAGATTAAGAACTATCCCTGATCCAGGAAATGTTGCCAATAGGTGGTAGGAAATTTGTGTCCTGGCAGCAACCATCAAGGAAAGGAACGCACAACTTTAGGCATAATAATCAGGGATCTTTTAAAATAAAAACACCGTGAAATCCGGTGGGCAGAGCTCAGAGCCACATCAATCCCTACCAAAGCAATGCTCTTCCCTTGAGCTGAAGAAGATTCATTACACACTGGCAACAAGACAAAGACGCTGCCCCAGTCCCGCTGGTTACTTCGCCCGAAGACGTGGTGTGCGTTCCTTCCTAAAGGCAACACTTAATCCACAATTTCGCACACTTATTTCTTCTACTCTCCTGGAACTGCTTCAAAAATTTTATTAGGGGTTTCATTTGATCAATTTTCATCAGCAGTCTCCCTGGCCCATCCAGATGATTGGAATTTGCTGACCATTGCTTTGTTGAAGCCCTTTATGTTCTATGAGAATATTCCCTCCTGGTATTCTTCCGCTATAGGTGATTTTTTTTTTTCCTTTTGACTGTTATGCCAGTTTCTCTCACCAAGCTGTGATCGTTTTTCATATGACTCTGTCTTTCGCTTCCATTGCTGCTCTCCAAACAATTCTCCCTTTAGTGGATCAATTCATCCTTAGGATGTAACTACATTTGCTTAAGAGCTACCTCCAAAATATCCACATACTGCCCTGATCTCTAGTTTCAGATTTCCAAATGCTTGCATGATGTCTTTTCAAAGATGCATTGTCACCAGTTCACTGTCTCTTATTCTTCCTACGTACTGCCTGCACAAGTCTGGAAAGTCTAACTTTTGGTCTAGATCTTCCTTCCTTCCTTCCTCCTTCCTCCCTTTCTTTCTTTGTACTGAAAATTGAATCCAGGTTCTTTACACTGAGCTATATCTCCAGGCTTGTTAAATTGTTTTGTTTTGAGATGGTCACTAAGTAGCCCAGTCTAGGTTTAATTTTTAATGACCTAGCTTGTGTGATAAAAGAAAATATTTCAGAGCTCAGTGGAGACTTTATATTCAGGTTAAGTGTTTCTGCCAAATATGAAATTCCTAATTTTTCTAATACTCTTGGTAACTACATAGTTTCAATAATTTTTGTTGTGGTGTTTCTAATGTTCCAAGGCTAAAAATAATATTCAAATTTAAAATTGAATTGCCAATATTTAAATTCTCAAACAAATACTGTTATCTTTACCAATACTCCATGATTTGCAATAGATTAAGAGAAGTGAAGACTAGAAGTCTCAGAAGAAAACTAATCTAGGGCCCAATAGTAATAAATATTGTTTCAAACTCTGCTTTATATTTTATTTATTCATATGTGACTGTCTTTCCAACTGGATTTGAGGTCCTAGTAAGAAAGACTGGTGTTTGAATCACTTTTAATTTTACCTTCAACAAAATGTCTGATCTTTTCTGTATGGTCATTAAGTATTTGTTGAATTATTTAATTTTAAGATCTAGGCTTTTTTACATCAATTATTCAAAGGATATTGATAAATCTGGACATGGAAAATCTATACTTTTCTAGGGCTTGGATCAAACTTGGACAGAGTGTCCAAGAAACCTGAATGAGAAACAAAGGGCCAGACCCTCCTCAGACTCTAAGAAAGCCACAGACTGAAGACACCAGTCCTGTGGCCACTGCTGATAGGGTCCTTCCTTTCTGCTGTCTTGACTTTATGACCATTACCAGGAGGAGCAACCTACAGTCATTGGTCAAAGCCAGAGGGAATTTGAGGCAAAGAACAAGTCTTTCACTGATGTTCTGTCACATCCCATGAAATGTCTTTCTGAGCTTCTTCTTGTTTAACTGTTTAAGGGAAGGCTGGGAATCTGCAAGGCAGAAATACTGCAAAGGCAGAAGTTGAGTTGTATATGAAAGGAAACTAGATGGCTTTAAATATTTACCTATGTATCAAACACTTTTCAACTATGAAAATCTAAAGCTATAAGCCTCATCATATATTGGGCACTGTGTTGGGCAGTGACCAAATGCTATATACACACAGTGTAGACAAATTTACATAGCATTTTATTTGGTCTAGACTCCATTTGCACTGAACAAAGTTCTTCTTGTAACTGTAATCACCAGACCTGAGCACAAGCCTATGAAGTAGATAGCACTTCATGTTCCAGTCTACAGATAAGGAAATTGAGACACAGTATAAAAGGTTCAGGAACTTGCTCATGAATATTCAATCTAGTAAGTATCAGAGTTGTGGTTCAAACTCACAAAATCTGACTTCAGACTATCTACTCAGAATGATTATTCTACACGACAACTTTGGCCTTTTTGATAACTATTTGACAATAGTACCACTACTCTTTTTCTATAAATGAAGAGCTGAGGTGTAGAGGTATATGTCATGTGACCTGAATCAATGTGGAGTCCTCCCCATTTCCCTGTTGCAGCCACTTGGTTTTGGTCTTTCTCATTCCTGGGATGAGGTCCTGTAAAGCCTTTTAATCTGTATCTTCAACTTTCCCCCTTTCCACTCACCTTTCACGTTGCTACACGATGCCATTCAAGACTCTCCCTTGGTTTCTTGTCTGTGTCATTATATTCAAATATGTGCCTTTTTATAGTAAACCTCCTTCTAGTTTTCAAACTTATCTCTCATTCTCCCATTCAGCTTATTTCCTTATTGTTCCACTTATATATTTTCAATTTTTCTTCTTATAAACAACATTTTAAATGTGTCCACACTAGGGAATGTATTCAGCTTATGTAGTCTTCCACTATAAGTTTCTTTCTCTATCCCCAGTGTTAGTGTTGACCCCATTTACCTCTCTTTGTTTCCTATGTACACTTATGCTGCTGGACACCATTGTGACCTTACACTGTTGTAAAATATTTGGCTATTTCTTTTTTCTTTTCTTTTTTCTTTTTTTTGGCACCGGGGATCAAACTCGGGACCTTGAGCTTGCGAGGCAAATGGCAGAACCTCTGAGCTAAATCCCTGGCCCACTTGTGTATTTCTTGATGCCTTTGGCATCAGGATTATTTGCCTTAAATCTCTTCACAACAATACTACTATAAAGCCTTTTATTTGTGCTAACTTCCTAGGGAACAAAAGTCAAAATATTTGGACTGGTGGGCCTTGAATAGCAGACTACATATTTGGGTTCAGAAAAATTTTGTATGGTGTATGATAATATTAAGAAAACTTAGTTTTACCATATTCTAAATGGAATGACTTAGAGTTGTGACCAAACCATGTGTAGGATAGCAACGGTGCTCCAAGAGTGCCAAGGAAAATATTTGCTGTTACAGCTTCTTTTGTACTTCATCCTGCTGTGCCTCTGTGATTGGAGAAATCTGACAGGAAAAAGTCAATGGGAAAAGAGGAGGATAATGTATGGAGCACAATAGTGACAGAAACAGAGCCACAAAGCTATGCCCAAACCTGGCTAAAGTAACCGCCAAAAGTCACATGATTGAATACAATGTAATGTGCTCTGGTGGAAAGTGAGAAGTGTACATGGTACTTCAGCTTCATTTGGGCTGGTTACCTTTCACTGTTGTTTTTGGAATTCTGGTATCACTCTGTGAAGACTGCATTCAGCAGATTTTGATGTTGTTTTGATATTGTTATTCTCATATTTCTTTATCATCTTTAGAATAGAATATTCAGTTTCTAAAAGTTGTCCTACAAAACTTTAAAGATGCAGGTAATTTGTTTCTTATTTGATGTTATTAAATGGACAAGGGAGTGAACCAAACAATAACAATAGAAATACATAAATAACAGTCATCATGAGAGCCTCTAAACTTTTTAAATGTAGAAATCTCCTACAGCTACCCATTCACAGGAATGAGTTAAAATAGAAGAAATTTGGTAATGTCTTTTAATCCCATTTCTAATATCTGGTTAAATCTTGTTTGTGTTTAATCAGTTCTCTACATATGTGGCTTCCAAGCCAGGTGTGGTGGTGCATATCTGTAATCCCAGCACTCAGGAGGCTGAGGCAAGAGGATCACCATGAGTTCGAGGCCAGTCTGGACTCCATAGCAAGATCTTGTCTCAAAATAACATAAAAGGTTAATACATATGCATCTTTCCCCATATTCACAAGTGGATCTTGGCATACTTCCCTAGACAAAAACTACCCACTTTGATCCTTCATTTCCATTCTCTCTTCTTCTGCAAGGATTGTAATTACACATCAATTGTACCTTTTGAAATTGTCCCACAGTTTGTGGATTTTCTGGGGTAGTTATTGTTATTTTATTCTTTTCGTTTTCAGTTTGGGAAGATTTTATTGGTCTACCTTCCAGTTCACTGATTCTTTCCTCAGCCATGTCCAATATACTGATTTATTTATCAAAAGCATTCTTCACACCTGGTACAGGATTTTTTAAATTTTTAATACACTTTTGATTCTTTTTTAGTTTTTTTCCATGTGTGTACCTTCATTATTCATTTGCTCTTTTATATTGTCTATTTTAATGAAAGCCCTGGTGACTTATTAATCCTCATTTTAGTATCATTTTATAGCTGTATTGACTCCTGCTTCCAGTTAGTGGATCTCAGCTGCATCTTCCTGAAGTTATCTTTCTCTTCCAGGTAT